ATGAATATGTGTTTTTCATATAATTAAATGTTTAGGAACAATATAATAATTATTTTCATTATAACTTTGATGCTTATCATAACATAAAGCATATTTTAGAAATAGCAAATTAACAATTTTATAACATGATTTGTTACTTTTAATAATTTCATACGCACAAAGATTCGAATTATAATTAATTGTATCCCATACTTCACACACTGCCATTGCATCATTATCATAAATGAATATTTTATGGATTTCACCATAAACTGGTAAATCTGTTCCATCATGAATATTCAAAACAATGAAATTGTTATTTTTGTATTTAAAAAAATATTCAATTTCTGACACTACATACACTAAACTTTCATAATCCAAATTATTACCACTCGTTTGGACAAACGGTATATAATTTTCAAGCAAGTTTTGAAGCTTAACAAATTCCCCTTTTCCAAGTTGTAATCTTTCGTTATCATCGAGTTCATTCCACTTATAATAAATAAATTTTTGGTGTTGCACAGCCAACATTTTTGGCACATTTTTATAATTTTTATAAATAGCCATCAAATTTTTAAAGTAACTATGTTTAGCTTCAAACCTCATTGCCCATAAATGAATTAAAGGTCCCATTAACGCAATAACCGTAGGATAATGAACCATGAAGTGATGTTTAGGTGTTAGTTGTCATTTAAAAACAGATAAAACCAACGAATGGTGCTCCTCAATGAGTCCTTTTAAATGTCCAATATTTCCCTGAGTTATCGAAGGAGAGAAAATTATTTGTAAGATTTCTATTAACAATGTCATTACATACCACGCTTCAATAATTTCGGGATGCTGAATTACATCACTAATAATTAGCGGTAAAAATCTAATCAAACACCATGTCTGTGCTGCGCGTTGACCTATTAAGCCTGACTGCTTCAAAACTATTGGACTAGGCCGATTTTTCATTTCAATGCTGCCAAAATTAAATTCCTGTATCCTTGTATTAATTATATCTAGTGTTAGTATTTTTTTCTTAACGATCAACTCAATAATAAAATGTATCTCCCGTTGCACAACTCCTTCCAACATATCATGCATTACGTCTACAGTGTAAGCCTCAAAAATATAAAAATAGTTTGAATAATTTAAAATAGATTTCCCTTTTATTCCCAAATAGCTGTCAACGCGCTCTTTTTTAATTTTTTTGCAAATTCCTTCATAATTATTAGCAGTTCTTAAATTCGTTGGATTTTCATTTACCATCGTTTTAGTTTCTTCACTGGTAGATGTGCATATTCGACAAAAATATGTTGCATTGAATGACTTTACCATGTTAAATAGAGTGTTTCCCCCTAAATTATCAAAACTGAGGGAAATAATAGACCCTTTGATGTTTTTATTTCCGATATTTATTCCGTCAGTTTCTAAAATTTTTATATCTTTCATTATAGGCTTTAAGACTTGATCGATGCTAATGATATCACTTGTCCGAAATAAGCTTACTAAATGAATATGATGAAGTTTCGAATTTAAATAAGAAGGAAAATTTCGCACGATAAAGTAGACTGCACCAATTTTAAAATTTCTCGTTTTACTTCCCATTGGATTTGCAACTTGGAATTCATCAAAATAAAGCTGTAACTGTAATCTGTATGGTGATTCTTGAAATAATTGGTGAGTTTTAAAATATGTTCCATGAGATTATGAAGTTAAAATATGAGAATTTTCACTGTGATTTTGAGTGAAACAGAATCTCGACGCATCTTTAGATAGAATAAATTCAATTTGTTTTAAAATCGGGACGTAGACTATTTTACAAGTTACAGGTATAGATATATATTTTTTTAAACGATAATCAAACTTTAATTTATGTTTCACCCCAACAGTCAGTTCAATCGGATC